TGTGTACTATTGTAAATGCTAATAGTACAGTGGTTGGTGGAGAGTTGGGTTTAAATCCCATTTCATGTCACAAGTGAAGACAACTTTAATAATAATTTGTTGTCTCCTTCCAGTCTCCATTTGTGAGCATTGTCAAACCTCCATGCTGAAGAGCTTGTCTAGTTGTGGGAAGATTTTGAGTTGGAATTACAGATCCCATTGTGGTGTATTGACAAGAATATATGGGGCGTACTGGGTTTGACTGAACCCAATAACCTGTATTGAGCATGAGCAACAAGATTTTTAGACTTTTAAGTGAAACAAACACTTCCTCCCTAATGCTTGTAAATCTTGTGTTCTCTCGTATTCAAATAAATGAGATTTGAAAGAATAATCATACATTATTCATTTGGATTGGCCTTTTGGGCCCATTTAAATTTCATGCAGCATTTCTGGAAACCTCTGTGGATTACCAACAGACTCATCAGCCATTAATTCCCAAGTTTTTTTTTTCCTATCAGCACACATCTTCTAAATAGCTTGAAAGCAAAAGAAAATGAAATATGACATGAAGACCAGAAATGAATCTAATTTAATTTGGAGAGTGTAGTAGAATGTGGCTAATGAAGAAATCCCCTTCTGTAGCCATTCTGTTAATGGTTGTTTTTTATAACTGTGTGTATGTGCCTCCTCCCTACTATATGACTGGACTATAAGTGAGTTAAATGCTCACTTATGAAATTTGTGGGAGTTGACAGCCCAGCTTACCTTACACTTCTCTGGAAGTTCCAATATAATACGTAGGGGGAGTTTCTCCATACCTAAGTAGGATTTACAGCTGGTGAGAACAGGCAGACTTTACAGATAGTTCACATTAGTTCAGTGCCAGGTACAGGTCCATGAGGGCTCTATCCTCACTAGGCATGGTCAAGTTACGACAGTGTAGATTCACAAAGTCCCCACTGGTTTTTCATTGTCCCTTTAGAACGTCCACCGATTCTTTTTTGGAGGTTGGTGACCACGGTACATAGCTAGACAAAATTTGATTCAGAGGGGCTTGTTCAGGCCAAACTTATTGCCAGAGATAAAGATCATGCATTTTTTAACCTCCCTGTACAGAACAGCCTCCACTGCTTTAAGTGGTATTATGAACTTATGACAAATATAAAGAATGAAAGTCTCCTTCAAAAGCCTTTTCTGGCATGACTTAAATTATTTGAAATTGCTGACATTTGCCTTTTTCAGATGGGTGCCAATGTCCATAAACCTTTGTTTGAAACAATGGAGAGTTATTGAGTTAAATGTTCCCAGAATAGCAAATCTGGGAAGTATTAACGGTACATTATGTGAAGGTTACTGCCATAGCTAAGCCTGCAGTTCGCATGTTTGAAAGGCAGAAATGTGTATTTGTGTAACCATGGTCAGTTTCAAAAGATCAGTAAAGATCAACTTAAAAATCATAGTTCTGTTTGTATTGTTTTATTTCTTGTTGTTACTTTAATTAGACCCTGTTGGACATTTTCTGATTAAATGAGTTTAATTGGAAAATGCTAATTGGTTGAGACTGGTGTGTTTCAGTCATCAGCTTTGAAGATGTTTTGCACAATCTCATTTGAATCCTGCTTGGATTCCTTAAGGACTGCCCTAGGGGTACAGACCTGAGCTAAATTTTGGCTGGCTTGACCTGTAATAGTTAAGATCACAATTACTGACAGAATCAGAGAGAAAGTGTATTTCTACGTGTTTGTGCATTTGACACATGTGAAGTCAGTCTGTTCCAATCTTGATTATGTTCTTCTTTTGCACAACAAAGTAGGAGAAAAAAAACATTTTTAAAAATGTGACTATAAAACCACAAAAAATGGGGAGGGGTTCAAGTTGTGGTGGTAGAAGAAGCAATTTGAAGGGCTTATAAAATAATTAACGTCTAAAAAAATTCCACACTTCAGATAACAGTATCTTTTAAAACTAAGCATTTTCCTTTTGTTGTAAAATGGTCTGTTTTAGAAGACTGGTTATCAACTCCTGAGAATTTGGAATGAATGTTGACATGGTCCCATAACACTGAGTGAATGGGCAGCAAAATGTTAGATAAAGTTCGATATTGCTTAATACAAAATGATGCACGTGGGAAAGAATAACCTGAGATACACATACATGATGATACCCTCTACATTAGCTGTTAATATTGAAGGAAGAAGAGATCTTGGAATTATTGTGCATAGTTCTCTGAGAACATCAGCCCAATGTTCAGCAGCTATCAAAAAATTATTTGGAAAGGAATTGAAAACAGAACAGAAAATGTTGTTATGCCACTGTATAAATCAATGGTATGCCCACATCTTGGGTGCTGTATGCAGTTTTTGTTCTCCCACCTCCAAAAATATGGAAGAACTAGAAAAAAGTACAATGAAGAGCAGCAAGGAGGAACAAAAAGAAAATAAAATAGGCTAGGACATTTCTGCTTAGAGAAAAGACAACTAAAGGGAGCTATAATGGAGGTCCACAAATGTGAAGAAATTGTGAAGAAAGTAAATAAGGATTTATAATTTACAGTTTCTCACAATACCACAACTACCAGACATGCAGTTAAATTACCAGGAAGTAGATTTAAAGCAAATGGAAGGAAGTTATTTTTTTACAATCTGTATGATTAACTTGTAAACTTATTACCACAATATGTTGTAGAGGCTGGCAATTTAACCAAGACTTAGGGAGAATTTAGGCACTTAGGTGGCTTGCAGACGTTAAAAAAAAAAGTGCTTTACCAGAAGAAGTAGTGCATTACTTTAGCCTGGCTCTGCAGCATCTGTAAATATGAGCACTTCAGCAGGGCTTTTTGGTATTGTTAGCTAAAGCTGATTTAATCAGCTATTAGATAAAAGCACCAAAAAAGCTCCACTAAAGCACCCAATCTTTATAGATGTCAGGCAAACCGGGTTGAAGTCACATGCTGCCTCTTCTGGGCATGCATGGGAGCTTGGCGCAGGAATATGTAAAGTGACGTGTTTTGGGGGTTTTTTATGTCTACAAGTACCCTTAAATTCCAGAGTGATTCAGATTAACCCTGCTTTAGAGTTGTGCACCTTCAGTTTGGGCTGAAAAGTTCTCTGGACTTGGACTTCTGCACTTTCCCACACGTCACCTAGTTCAAGCAATCTGAAACCTGAAGTCCACCTTGCATAGTTCCATTCAGCTGAGACTCTTGGAGAATTCTTAATTCACGCTAATGGCAATGGAGTCAGCACAGAGCACAAAACCCATAGCCGCTTTCACTGAAAAATCCAGCAAGTAATTGCATTTACTTTGTATGTAATAGCCTGTTGGGTAGAGCACTGACCCAGATAGTTGGATACCTGGGTTCCATGACCTCCATACCTCCCGTTTCTCAGAAGAGTGCCCTAATCACCACACTATAGAAGAGTTTTGTTTGGGGATGGAGGGGGGAGGGGTGCCATCTATTCCTCCAGCTCAGGCTGGCCTGCTGCACAGCTAAAAATGCAAGAGTCATGACGTCAGAGCAAAAAAAGAAAGGGGAAACCAGGAGTGTTTAACTGTGTATTAACAGGCATTAGTTAAAATATGGAAATAACTCTATGTGCAGGGGCTGGAACCCAGGTTTTCCTGCCTATTAAATGTCTTCACCACCAGGATACTATGTCATTCATTATCCTTTGTGTAGAGAGCCTAAGTACCTCATCTTGAATCATACTTCTGTGTATCTCCCTATTGTTTGTATAAGGATCCCAAGTACTGAAATCCATCGCTTTAGATCACCCTTGAGAGGCAAGGCACCTAATTTTTAGACACTGCTGTGCCTGGGTGGAAGTGCATAAGTGACCGAACTGGATCTAGGCCTTCATCATTTAAAAGCAATTGTACATTTTGTGGCTCATTGGCCAGCTACCACGGTACATCAAGTGTTGTAAATGTACATACCCCTCAATGACTAGTTTCATGTAGCTTAAAGCTAAATCAATCACTTAACTTGACCTTCTGTATATCACAGGCCCTTACATTTCCTCAAATACTCCTATACTGAGCCCAGTGACTTCTGTTTCACTAATGTATAATCTGTGTTTTGGTTAAATCATACAAAAACATATGGGAATAAACTGCCCATAAATATTAGAGCATGGAAATTAGAGGGTTTCTAATTAGAAAGTAAAATTTCTGGGACAGATTTCCAATGAGTGCAGTAAACCCGCCTGACGTTAAATAGAGCTGAATACGTTTATGGATTGTGCTTATGAATTTGCCTTCCACATTCCAAGACTTAGAACTTTGCATTTGGCTGTATTAAAACACGTTTTATATGAATAGACCCAGTTTATCAAGAAACCCAGCATGCTTGGTATGATTGGCTTGCCAGTATCCGTACTTACCGTACCTCACATCCTTATGTCATTTTCAAAATTTCTTGGCGGTGATTTTGTATTTTCTTCCAGATCACTGTGAAAAAGGTTTAATAGCGTCGAGCTCAGTGTCTGTCCATGCTGAATCCCACTACATACGCTAACAGGATGTGATAATTCCACATTGATGGTTTTACTTTTTACTAGTGTTTGGAATCAGCTATAGAATAAAATCCTACTCGGGGCCAAAGCAATGATTCATTTCTGTTACCATTACTTTTACTGTAAAGAAGTAGTGACTAACATCATTTAATTTTCCTTATACCATATAATACAATGAAAAAAAGATGGCTTTTAAAAATATTTTTTCAAATCTTTTTTTAACGCAAATGTGAAACAGTGTACAAGATAGTCCTTGATGTGTTTTAGTGACAATACACAATGAGAATTGGCTTTCCAACTCCTATTAAACTTCATGAAAAATAGGCTTTCAACTCCCTTAAGCTGAATTGAAAATCTTAGCCTAAAAGTCTAAACTGTCGTTTTTATTAAAACTCACAGTACAGGAGCATCAGAATGTTTATTCATTTATTTTGTTGAAATACCTTTGAGACCAGATTTTGCTTGTGCACTGGTACTTACACACATTTTTCTCTTTACTTGTAGTGGATTTTTTGAAAATCTGCAGAGGAACTATAAGATTCGTCAAGCAAACTTTGGCTGGCAGAGGGTCTGGATAACAGGTGACATGGCGAAAGAGTGCAGGGGTAGAATTATTGTAAAATGATTAGTCTTTCAGGCTTTTTTGTTGAACTGTTGATCCTGGTGACACATGTTAAAAATCTTAATATAGTCTCTCTTTTTTTTTCTGAGATAAAACAATTCAACCACCATGAGTTGGAGTTTCTTGACCCGTCTGTTAGAGGAGATTCACAATCATTCAACCTTTGTTGGCAAAATCTGGTTGACAGTGTTGATTGTCTTTCGGATTGTCCTTACTGCTGTTGGAGGGGAATCCATCTATTATGATGAACAAAGTAAGTTTGTGTGCAACACAGAACAACCAGGCTGTGAGAACGTTTGCTATGACGCTTTTGCTCCTCTTTCACATGTGAGATTTTGGGTGTTTCAGATCATTCTTGTAGCCACTCCGTCTGTGATGTATTTGGGCTATGCCATTCATAAAATTGCCAGAATGGTTGAACATGGTGAAACTGACAAAAGAACCAGAAGTAAACCCTTTTCAGTGCGCTGGAAACAGCATCGTGGCTTGGAGGAGACAGAGGGTGACCATGAAGAAGATCCGATGATGTACCCAGAAATAGAGCTAGAAAGTGAGAAGGAGAACAAGGAACAACCACATCCCACCAAAGCTAAACATGATGGCAGGCGACGAATTCGAGAGGATGGACTCATGAAAATCTATGTGCTACAACTTCTTACTAGAACTATGTTTGAAGTTGGCTTTCTTATTGGTCAGTATTTTTTATATGGTTTTGAAGTCAGCCCAACGTTTATATGCAGCAGGAAACCATGCCCGCACAAGATAGATTGTTTCATTTCAAGGCCAACAGAAAAGACCATTTTTCTATTAATAATGTATGGGGTGAGCTGCCTATGTTTATTTTTGAATGTCTGGGAGATGCTCCATTTGGGATTTGGAACTATCCGAGACGCACTAAACAATAAAAGAAGAGAGCTGGAGGACTCTGGTACCTATAACTACCCTTTTACTTGGAACACACCATCTGCTCCTCCTGGCTATAATATTGCAGTCAAGCCAGATCAAATCCAATATACTGAATTGTCCAATGCCAAAATGGCTTACAAGCAAAACAAAGCCAACATAGCTCAGGAACAGCAGTATGGGAGCAATGAAGAAAACATTCCAGCTGACCTGGAAAATCTGCAGAGGGAAATTAAAGTGGCTCAGGAACGCTTGGACCTTGCAATCCAGGCTTACAATAACCAAAACAATCCCAATACTTCCCGAGAAAAGAAGTCAAAAGCAAGCTCAAACAAAAGCAGTGCCAGTAGCAAATCAGGAGATGGGAAGACCTCTGTCTGGATTTAACGTTGTTTGGGTTTGACTTGTACTTTTCTCTTTGTTTATGGTAATCAGCAACTTGCAGAATAATTACTTCCATTAAATAAATATTTGGCTCTGTTTATCTTCAGGGATACTGTTGGCTAATGATCCAGGCACTCAAAAAACTGTTCATGCCCATGTTCTAGGATTATAGAACTTTTCTTGTGTCTTCCAGGTCAGGAGAAGAACAGGTATATTTAAATCATTCTCATTGAACGGTTTACACTGTATGTACAGTATCATGGTACATTTATGCACAATTTTTTTGTATTTGTACATTGAATCTCTTCAGTTACACTTTTTTATATTAAAGAAAAGAAAAAGTAGGTAACTCTTAGCATTTTGCTAGTTTTCTTACAGTGGTCTCTAGACCTCTTTTTCTCTTTTTTGTTCAAATGTGAACCTGTCTATGCTGCGTTTCAAAGTGCCTTGTACATGTCCACAACTTGGAGGATGCTTTTGTGACCAAAAGAGCCTGCTGAGTATTGATCACCTAGGAGCAGAGTGGTGAAAGCTTTGGGGAATGTTTGCTAGTGGTGCCATCGAGTGCATATTTATAAAGTTATTTGAAACTTTTGAAATGGAGGTGTCATGCTAATTAGTAGATGTCATAGTGTTGCACCTGCAGTTTAAATTACTTTTAGAAAGACATATGCATACTATAGTGCATATAATCTTAAAGGAATAAAGCCATACATAATGTAAGCTTTATCCAGCAGGGGGAAAAGAAACCTTGAACTCCTGTAATATGCTTTAAATGAAATGACTGTTTATTCAATAATTCCAGATTGATATGGTATATATGGGAAATATGTATTTCATAAAGTCTGTTACAATATGAAAACACACGAGGGCATTAAATTGTTACAGTGACTCTTGGATAATTGGATTGTATGGAGTCACTCTAAATTGTACATTTTCTGTATTGCATTAGAGAGAAGTTTTGACAGACATAATCTTTGTTTAGAAGAATATGTTGCAAGCAATTTTCCAACTACAAGTGACCAAGATGTTTTACCCCCAAGTCCTCTTCACTCCATCATGTCCAAAGGCCTCGGTTCAGACAGAGCAATATGTAAATTTTGTATTTCTGCTTGAGAGACCAGTTGTGTTTGGCATTCTGAGGATTTGACATTAAACTTAAATTTATAATTTGAAAAATGAGAATGTAGTATTTACTGCCTTTGGCAGTGTCTTTTTGGCAAGGGCAAAGCATTGATGTTTGTGAGAATGCTGATAAACTGTATATACTTCATACTACTATTTATAATTTGTTCGGGACCATGGTCTGTTTCTCTTAAGATTTAGTGTGTTTAATATATATTTGGGGGCAGTTTTAAGGTGAAACTCTTTTTCTGTTGGGAGGTTACCTTAATCTGCCACTGCCCCATTTACAGTCTAATCAGGAACAGAAATCAAGAGGTAAGGCAATAAAGGATGTGAGCTGCTGTGCAACAAAACATTCAACCACACTGTTAAATCTGTTCCTATTCAGGCAAGTGTTTATACACATGTTTAACATTAAAAAAATAAAGTGATAGGATATAAACTTATGCTTAAAGTTAAGCATGTGTTGAAATGCTTTTGCTGAATAGGGATGATTTGCTGAATTGAGAGTTTAAGTTCTAATTTCATGGAAGATTGCATAGTTCCCCCTTCTGTTCCCTCTTAAGCATTCATCCTCAGGTCTCGGCCTGTTTTCATAGATGTCAGTGGCAAAACTCCCATTTACAGAAATGGTCACAGGATGAAGCCTTTCTTCACATGACCAGGTATAAAACTTGCTCTCCTGCTGATTCTCTTTTCCATATTCTTCCTCATATTAGTCTGAGAAGTGAATGACCTATCTTAATGCTTTATCTTAAGTATCCTCCTTTTTATTTGAAGTGAGGTATAGGTCATAGTGTCATCGTTAAAATGCCAAAAGAACTTTTAAACCAAGAGGACTGGCAGCAAGATGAGAGAGATGAATTTGTCACTCACTTTGTGGGGGTGAAAAGGAGAGGGAGGGAGAGTATCACTGTTCTTTTAGTTAAAGAATTTGAAAAGAAGTACACAGCCTGCGGATAAGCAGAAAGGCTTAGCCAGTGGGAAGTTCTGAGTGAGATGGGGAGGCTGAGTGAAAAGCGTGATGTCTGAAAGAGCTGTGGAAAGACATTTGGAGCCTGGAGATAAACACTGACACACAGCTACAATCCACTCATTAGCTCAAATGTGGCAGCACAGTTGTTTTATCCAGCTTCCTAAAAGGGTTATATTGTTTTTAACTCCTTTATGGTGTCTTTGAACACCCTTTAACAAGTAGGATTGTGATAATTCAAAATCCCTTCCCCCTTGCTGCTCATTATATATCCTGCAGTGTTGCAACAAATCCTGGTTGGTAGCTTAAAATTACCTGACAATCAGTTAACAGAGTGCTCTGTGTACTGTTTATATTAACCTATTTCTGCATGATCTTTGGGTGCAAATTATCTTTGCTACTTGACCCTAAACAATTACCAATTTTCAAACAGTTTGCTCAAGTTAATCCTGTGAAATTTCCACCAAAAATATGAAATAATTCCATTAGTAGCCAGCTGTAAGTTGCATAGAGTCTACAAAAGTATTATACTCCCAGTACTGGATTTATTCCAAAAATGCAAAGTAACCGAATTTTTTTGGTTGCTCTGTTGAATTTATTTAGCTTGTGTAAAAAGTGCGTATTTTACTTTGAAACCAAGTGTTTGTTATTTATTAGGGATGTCTCTTACAGCCCAGAAATGTTCTTGTTTGTGATGGCATTCAGTTTCAGAGTACTGAGTTTGACTTTTCCTTTTGAAGAAGTGACACATTCTTTGCTTTAAAATGCTCTCCTGCTTTGGTTAAATCCAAGAATTTTTTAAATAAATATTCAGAAGAAACTTTAAACAAAAAAATGTTGGGGAGCACTTGGATCTTTTTTTGTCATTAGCAATGTTCTTTAGTTTTTGTGAGAGTTTTGAAAATGAAATACCCAGCATTTGTGGAAAGTCCACTCTGAATGAGAGAGGACCTTTTTTCAGTAATGAAATATGCTTCTGTTAGGGATGGGAAAATGGAGGTGGGGAGGGGTGGTATGTGTGCACATTTATTGCTTTCCTCTTACAACTAAGAGAGCCACACCTTGGAATTTTTTGTAAATTTGACATGGATTATTTAGTCCTACAAAGAACACATTAGAAACAAATAGTGGGGTTTTTTGTGCTTTCACAAATAATCCAAACCTGGAGGGTCAGACTTTGAAAAGAGGACACACTTGCAAAAATGTTTTATCACTTGAACTCCCATTTGCATATATGAATTGGAATAGTGATATCCACCGACAAAGTCAATTGTAGTAAATTAGACTGAGATTTTCCAGAAGAATCTGACAGAACTGTCTGCCTTGCTTTGTTTATTTAAAATCGCAGCCTGAAGTCTGCTCTGATTTGCTCTCTCAAATGATGGCTTTTGTAAATCACATGCAGCATTCTCCCCTCCTTTGAAAATTTGACCTTATAAATGAAAGTATGTGTGCACGTGCATGTGTGTGTGCAGTGCGTGCAGGTAAAAGGAGTCTCTTGCTGATTTGTCATGTCATGCAAGCTATGACAAAGCTTGTTAGTGAAATGGGTTAGGTAGTATGAGCATACTAAAAACCAGAGAAACTTGCAAGCCTCTTCTGCCTACCTCAGAGGAGAAAAAGACTTATTGCTGAGGACTAATATAGCTTCTGATAGCAGGAGACATTCCATTCACATCTGCTGCTGTTGACTTCAATGTCAACTCCCAATGTCTTCAGCACAAGCAGAATGGAACAGTGGTGAGTGTGTTTCCTTTTACTTGACTATTAGTAATTCATTAAGGTCCAAGTACAGCAAAACACCTAAGATTATTAACTAACTTCAAGCATGTGATACATCTCTCATAAATCCATGGCTGCCTATAGACATGCTCTGATGTGTTCTAACTAGAACGCATTGGAGCAGATTCAGTTACGAGTCTGCTCCATGTTCTAATTAGAACACAAATGAGTCGTCTCGTTGTCATGTGTATTAAGCCCTCTACATTTCAAAATGGCCACAGGAGCACTTTAGTTAAAGCTCATTTGATGAGGTTTAGTTAAAGCACCCCCATGGCCATTTTGCACCTGGGGTGGAGAGGAAGGGGGAGGCTTAATACACGTGACAGTGAGCCATTTTAATTAGAAGGACTGCCTGAGAACCACTCTAATTAAAACGCCTCCCTCCCCCCCACCCCGATCTCCAAGCACGTGAATAGGCAACCTATGTGACCACATACTTGTTTTAATTTAAGTTTGTATTACTGTGTTTTCCTGAATCAAGGCCTAATACCTCAGCTCTTAATTAGAACAGCATCTAATGTGGATGCTGTCTGGGAGCTGCTCTAATTTAAAACACAACCCCTTTCCCCCAGAGCATGTGTATAGACACCCCTTGGCTTCCTTTTCATTCCAAAAAGTACAGTTTATATATGTCACGCATTGAATGCTTCTGAATAAAAAGCACCATGTTTTGCCATGTATTGAATTATTTTTAATTCCATTGAGCGTGTCTACATGAGATGTTTACTGCTGAGTTCCATAATTAGCTCCACAATAAAGTCTCAGCATCTACATGTGTGTCCCTATTAGGCCACAGTTCCAGCTAACCCCACACAGGAACACCCTTGTGCCCCAGCCAGCTCCTCCACAGCACATTGAGCTGGGTTGGAGCAGCCCCAAGCTGGCAGGCTGACTCCCCGCCCCCCCTTCCCCAACCCCAGGCCCCTTGCCAGCTGGAGCTGCTCCAATCCAGTTCAACATGCTGCCGTCCCAGGCACACATGTAAATGTAGCACCTGGGAGCAATAAACTCTGGCACAAATTGCTTCAGAGTTTATTCAGTCGCATTACTAGTACGTGTAGATGCACCCATTGTCATGTAAAAATGCCCAAGAGGCAAATCCTGAATGTGTGAGTTGAGTTTTGGTTCTGATCATTCCATGCCATCAATTTCATAGGTCATAGATAACTATTCATAATACATCTTTTCTCAGCAAAGTAGGATGAGTCACTGGTGCTTTTGAAAGCCGGTCCTTGAGTGAACTGAATGGCTTGTCATTCATTTTGTTTATATCAGAGGGAACTTAAAATGTCATTTTATCATAGCCTGGAAAATGGCATTATGTTTTTGACAGCACAGCACTGTGGGTTTTTTCATGCACTCCATTCTAAAAATGTAACCAAACAAGCCTTACAAGGAGTTTGACACATCAAATTAATATGAATCTATGGCACTCTAATTGGAGCAGTTACAGTTTAAGCCTTATTATTCCCTCTTGTGGCAAATAGGCTGTACTGTCCAGTATTTTAGCTTGATTTTGCTCATTATGAGTCCAAGCCTACCTCCCACTGTCTTCCCTGGGACTGGAATTGAAGTCCTAAACAATGAAGTCCTAACTGGACTCAGTGACCAAGCCTCCTCAGGAAGCCAGAATGTGAACGTGGATTACAGGCAAAATTAGTAAATCCACATGGAACAAAATCTGCTTCTCAAAATGAGGTGGTTTTCACGAGGCAGTGAGTAAAATGGAAGACTATATCACTGTATATTTATTGAAAATGTCATGAATATTAAATGATTTCACATTGCTGAATTTTTGTTTTTGCAACTGATAGAAAGCTTTTTATTGAAATGTAGGCAAAGTACTACAAAGGGAAAATGTCTGCATGGATCACGTTTGCTTCCTGGTAGGTAGTTTAAAATAGGTGCACAACCTCTGGCCCATGGGCCAGATCCAGTCCACAGAGTCATGCCAATCTGCCTTCCAGGGCTCCTCATAGGTTCAAAAATTTAGTACCAGGAGAGCAGTGGCAGCATTAATAGCTGCTCCCCTGCTGCCAAATTTCTGGATCCATAGGGAGCCTTGTGGGCCAGAAAACATGGGTTGGCACACATCTGGATTGTTGCATGGGTCTGAGCCAGCACACAGGCTTGCACACACAGACTGACCCCATGTGTCGATTCCACGTAGGATCCAACCTGCAACCAACCCCTTGTCACTTGTCCAGCCCACAGGACCAGAAGGTTGGTTGCCACTGGTTTAAAATGTCTAGAATGGGATATCACTCCTCTCACCCTGCAGGCAGCTGCTGTGCCTGTG